TATCCCGGTCTCCACTGTTCCCCCTACGGGCCCGGGACCGGCACAGTGGCTCCTTACAATAGGAATGGAGGAGCGATCGGAATTCCCCCACTGCTGATCTCTCCTCCGATGCTTGAAGATGGAAGTGATGTGTATTACATCACTTCCGCCTTTAGCTGTCATTTCCCTGGCTGCTATAGCCAGAGAAGAATCTGGTGAAGCAGTTCTCTGCTTCATTAGCTTCTTTGGGGGTCCCTAGGTGATATTAGGAGTATGAGAGACCCCTAATGTCTCCATAAACAGGACCTGTCATTGTATATTTGTTATCACATAGGGGGATTTTTATCCCCTATGTGATAGCAATAAAGTTAAGTGTAAAAAGAAAAGTAAAAAAGAACAAAAAAAAATGTAAGTCCCCCAGCCCCGCATGCACGCACATATAAATGTAAATACGAGTCGGGTGCACCTACGTGCAAAAACAAAGATTACACCTCACATGTTACATATCACCTTGAGCATCAGAGAGCGAGCAATAAGTCTAGGGACATCAATCACTAATAACACTAAACTGATGAGTGGTAAAAGCTTTTAAAGCATCGCCTATGGGCAATTTTAGGTATTGTATTTTTTTGCGATTTGGCGGGTGCGCGCAATTTTGATGCCTGACATGTTTGATGTCTATTTACCCGACATGACCCCGTTTTTTATGTTTTACCAATCATTTGGGTAAATATAAATGTTTTATAACAAAGTAGGGAAAATAGTTTTTTTTAAAAACATTTTTGGTACTTTTTTCATTATATAGTAAAAAATAAAAACCGCAGTGGTGATTAAATACCCCCAAAAGAAAGCTTTGTCTGTCCCTACAAAAATGGTATAAAATTCATTTCAGTACAGCGCTGCATGACGGAATAAATGTCAGTCAAAGTCCTGCAGCGCTGAATACTGAAAAATGACCTGGACAGGAAGGGGGTTTAACGCCCCGGTCAGCAAGTGGTTAATATATAATATTAACAGGGTTGTTCACAAAAGGGTGAAGAGTTTGGGGAAGACAGTAGAAGTGAACAATCTAGGACAACATAGCTGGACTGGAAAGTGAGCTGAATTGGAGAATTTTTCTAATTCAGCTGTGTTGTCCTAGGTTGTTCACTTCTCCTGTCTTCTCCAAACTCTTCACCCTTTTCTGAATAACCCTGTTAGTTAATATATGAAAACAAGTTTACATTTCCAAGAAGTTTTCTACATGCAGCATCACAAGATACACAGTGTCATGGATGAGATAAGCATGCGAGATGTGTGCTATAGAGAGATAATAGACAAGACTGGCAGATGGCAGTTTTAGAGTAATCCTAATTGAGGTCACTGCTTCTTGGAATTGGCGTGTATAATAGTCATAGTCTACTTACATCACAAGACCTAATAACCTGGATGCGTGTGTGGCGCATTATCCTTCTCATTTTTTTATGCCGTCTAAATCAATTTGTATAAAGCTGCCATGTCATTCAAAGCCATTTCTCTTTTCCTTTTATCACAAGAACAAGGGAAATTATATGTCATGACCTAATCCAGAGGCAGTAGGATGCTTGAACGGCATTTCCTAACTTTTATAAACCACTCTTTCCCTTTGGTCTTATTCCATAATAAAGATTTTATTGCTTTTGGCATTGCAGCAATGTAAAAGCCGGTAGGTATTGAAACTCTAAAGGATATGTGTACATCTATATTGGCACATACGTTTGTCTCAATAGTTGGCCAATGTTACACTGCCAAAATGGAAATTAAAAAAACATGAACCTTTCTGAATTTGTGCCTTAAAGTGTAGTTCCACTTTGTGTAGTCAAATTTGCGAAAACCCCACTATAGGTTTGTTAGGTGTTCCTAGTCACACAGCATAACAAAAAAGAATGTTTTTATTTTTTTAAATTCTGACTTTTTAGATAGTTCCTTGGTAAAGGCCTTTGCTCAGATTGCAATCTGCAAACTGAGGGACACACTGAGCTTCCACTCATTAACATCCAATGCTTCTAACAGGGTTATGCATAAAAGGGTGAAGAGTTTGGAGAAGGCAGGAGAAGTGAACAATCTAGGACAACATAGCCGATTTAGAAAAATTCTCCAATTCAGCTCACTTTCCAGTTCAGCTATGTTGTCCTAGATTGTTCACTTCTCCTGCCTACTCC